CTCCTATTCCTCCATAATTTGGGAGGTGACGGAGGGAGGAGGTCATGTGGCCACAGCCTTGGGGGCCATGTGTTCTTGCTGGCTCTGTCTCATTCCTCATCTCAGCTACCATGAGGAGAGTGGCTTTCTTCTGCACACCCTCTGCTCTGCCCCAGGCTTGACAGCAATGAAACCAGCTGGCCATGGACCGAGCCCTCTGAACTATGAGCTGAAATAATCTTTCTCCTCTGAGTTGTCATTCTTAGGTATTTTGTCGCAGTGATAGAAAACTAACACAAGAGGCTTCTTTATTATTGGGCTAAAACTGGCCTGGTTTGAGATGTCTCTCTAGAGTTTTGGAAAGCTGAGCTGAATCTTAGTTATGGCTTGGTCATGGAACTACAGGATAAGTCGCTTCATTTTGGTCTGGTCTGTTGGTCTTTGGCAGGGGCTTAATCCTCATCCATGGCCTCCTCTACATTTTACTCACCAATACCTACTCCCTTTTTCACGTTTATCTTATGTATTTTTTTTTTGTCTTTTTGAGACAGGGTCTTGCTATGCAGTTTGGGCTGGCCTGGAGCTCATTTTGTAGCCCAGGCTGGCCTCGAATTCACAACAATCCTCCTACCTTAGCCTCCCGAGTGCTGGGATTACAGGTGTGTGCCACCAAACCCGGCTATCTTATGTAAAGGTTACTCTCCCAATTGACTCAAGGATTTCCTTCCTGTCATTGCCACCATCTTCTGATCTACATTTTTTTTTTTTTAAAGAATAAACCATTTGATTGGTAGGTAAATAACTAAACAGAAAACCTTAATTCCTGTATCTTTTGTGGTCCCATTATCCTGTTCTCATTTATAGCAAAAAGGAAATCTAACTGCTTCCTGATACCATCTAATAGAGACCATCAGACCTTTAACCTATGCCTTTTATCTTTATTACTCTCCTCAAGGTCTCAATGATTCCTATGCTGCTGTATCCAAAGGTCGGTTCTCAGCTTACTCAACCTCGCAGTAGCAAATGACACAGTGAGGCACCTTCTCTTCTGAAACATTTTCTCCACGTAGCCTTTGAGGCTCCCCTCTTCCGATTCCTCTACCTCTGGATTCTCCACCTACATTTCCTTTGCTAGTGGCATCCTTATCTCTGCAGTACCGCATGATTACCCTTTGGCTCTCTTGTTGCAATTATGCAATTAACGTCCTCAGCCAGCAACTACCAGTGATTTTCAAACTGTAAGCAATAACAGCTGTTATTGGTTAAAAAAAATCTATTGAGTTGGGAGCAAAAGTTTTAAAGAAATAAATAAAAGAGAAAAAGAACTGTGAATCCTATAGGGGAAGGGATTGTCACTATGTAAAATGTATTTCGTATCTTGGGTTGAGGTCTGTGCAAACTCATTCTGTCTTGGGGTTTAAATACCATTGACATAACATATCTGTACATTTCTAGCCCAAATTCCAGTTGTTGCTAGCCAGCTGCCACCTGTACATCTCTATCTGAATTAACAAGTGGCATTTCAAATTTAACATACCCCAAATAAAATTCTTCAAGCTGTCCCCCACACTGGCTTAGTATGGCATCCATTCTTTAGGGTGTACGGGCCCTAAACTTTGGAATCAACCTTAACTGTGTTCTTTCACATCAACATCTAATCTGCAAATCCTATTGGTTCTACCTTTGAAGCATACCAAATACTATTTTGCATAGGAGGGCCAGAAGAAAGAAAGAATAAATAAAAAGACAATGAAGATGTATCTTCATAGTTATTAACTAAAGGAAAAGATATTTAGGCTGCACTGTGGTTTGGATAGGTGTTCTCCAAAGGTCTATGTGTCAAAGGCTTGGTCTGTGGGTGGCACTGTAGGGAGATGTGGAACCTCTGAGAGGTGGAGCCTTTAGGAGCTCTCTAGGTCCTTGGATGCCAACCCTGAAGGGAGTGGGACTCCTCCCTCCACTCTTAGGCTTCTGATAGAAATGGTTTTTCTGTGCCACATACCCCACTGTGATATGCGGCCTCATCAGAGGCCCAACGCTTCCCCTACTTCCTAATCCTGGACCAGACCTCCACAGGCATGAACTAATAAAGCTTTTCTCTGGCTACATTAATTATCTTGGTCTTTTGTTATGGTGACAGAAAGGTGACTAATGCAAACTTGGAATCAGGAAACTTGAATTCAGGCCTAGCTCTACCACATCATGGCTGTGCAACACCTTAGTAGGTTATTAATCATCTCTCCCTTTGTAAATTGTCCATTATTACATGTATAGCTTAGTGGGAATACTGCTCATTGTATTAGATGAAGCACTGTTACAGACTTACATACATTTGTCATAGACAGCGACACATTTTGTTTGCAGTGAAACCCTAACTAAAAAAACTAAAGCATACTTTACACATTTAACTATTGGTGGAGTGGTGGGTGTAACAGTCTCAGGTAGCACTGGTTGTTTGGTTAAGGCCTGATTTCTGGATTAATAGCTCATGTCCCAGACGCCCTAGGAAAGGGTGGGCAATTTCTCTATGTGGCAAAGGCTATGAAAAGGCAGTGTATTAAGTTTTCAAGAGCACACATAGGAAAGGTATGAAATTACCGTCTTGCCCCAAGGTCAGCACTCCTCCTGGACTGGGCACCTGGTCACTTATGAGCAATCCCTTTCCTGCCAGCCTTGCTTTCAAAGTGCAGATGCTTCTTTCCATTTGCATTTTGTTCCCTTGCTGACAACTGCTTCCTCAACTGTGGCCTACGTGGTACACATCTGAACCCAGGATTTGACACACTCAATTGTCAGTCCCCTTTCCTCTGGACTCAGCTCATACACCAATACCCTCTGACCAAGGCTGAAAGGTGAACACACTAAGCACTATGTGTGCTGGGCACTTTAAAGTGCTGTGCAGACATCATCTCTGTAAGGCTTGATTTGGGCATGACTCTCCCAATACCCAACCTGTCTGCCAGCAGAGGCATTACTCTCAACTCAGCACTGGTGCCCTCAGCAAACACAGAATGTTGTAAAAGAGATAAGATGGGGGCAGGAATCTTCCAAACACCCAGACATTTAAAGACATCTAAGCATGCACACTGGATGCCTCAAAGACTTTGCCCACTGAGGCATAAAGCATCCAAAGAACTTTAACCACTGAAGTTTACTAAGATCTTCCCGCCTAATGTCCCTTGCCTTCTGTCAAGGCCTATAAAAAAGGACCACTTCTCTTTGACCTGCTCTTTGGCCTTTTCACCCTCTGTCTGCCTGCACCCATAAATTCCCTGCCACGTTGCCTTTACACAAGCCTGGTGATCTCAGCTGGTCTCTGCCTTGCGCCATTCCTTACAATCTCTTTTCATCTCACCACTGTTATGGTTTATAATTAGATCTCCCTCAGGCCTAGGGTGTGTATTGGGGGGGCTTGTGGAAGGTGACTGGATTATGCTGATTTACAACTGACTTAGTGTTAGAAGGCGGCCTGAGTGGGAAGAGGCAGGTCACAGGGGACATGGCCTGCAAGGGTTTATCTCCTTTCCTGTCTCTTCCCTTGAACTCTCTCCACTTCCTCAGTTCCATGCTATGAGCAGCTACTCCTCTGCCAGGTCCCTCTGCCGCGCCGCCCTGCCTGAAGACAATAGACTATGGACTGAAACCTCTTAAACATGAGCCAAAATAAACTTCTCCTCCTTGGGTGTTGGGTACTGTGTCTCAGTGACCAGGAAGGTGACTAAGACAACCACTGATGAACAGACAGCACCTTTCTTTTAGATAGATGAAAGGAGGCTTGGAAATGTTAGGGAGTTGCCTAGGTAGTAATGGCAGAGCTAGGACTTGCTGTAATTTTGCCTGTATGAGCAATGCCCGTCAGCCCTTCTATAAGACTGACAGATGCTTCTGGAACTTGGAAGGCTCTGCCACTTCCTGGGGAAAAATGGTAGGACTCCACACCCAGCCATTGGCGAACCAGCTGCTGGCCATTAGATATGGCTTAGGTGTGTGGTATACTTGAAAGACAACTGCTCCTGCCTCCCTGACACCTGCTGCAAGAGCAGTAGGAGGGGTTCTCCAGGGTGTGGCAACTGGCCTTGCAACTACTAGCGAAAATTCATCACCACACTTTCTGAGTGCATCACAGGAACAAAGAAGGTATTTTGGCCTTTATTGATCTGGAGGATATTTCGAATTCACTGCTTTGACCCTGACAGTTTGTTTACTCAGCCAAGTAGGCAGAGTAATCAGAACCGTCCAGAGGAACCTCATAAGCCACACAACAGATCACTTCTAGATGACAAAACAGTGCTGAAATATTTGTGGGGATTTGCTTCACATTCACTCATCAACTTGCTAAGAGATGATCCAGATATTTTGTCTTTTGTGCAATTCACAAGCCTATGATGAGAGAAATGAAACTGGCTGTGCCTAACACTCTTAGAAAGTTTGATCTAGAACTACTGAAGTTGGGAGAGACAGTCACTAAAACAAGAGCGGTACAATCCGGAAAGCTTGACAGACAGAAGCTGAAATCAAGTATGAATCTGGACATATCTATATTTACATATTCGAAGATTATTCTCAGCGAACAGTATACCTACATTAAAATAGACATTATAAGCGCGCTATACCTCCCAAGCACCCCTTTTCCAGCTGGCAGGGGTGGGGCAGCATCTCTCACAGCAGCTGAGTTCCCTGTGGGCTCTAGCCGTGGTTTGGCCCTGCTCCGGCCGCCGTTGCGGGGCAACGCCTCGTTGGCCCCGCCCCGCGCGGACACGTGATGCGCGCGTCACGAGACGGGCCAGCGGGTCGGGCCCCGGCCGAAGG